TCGACGGCAGCCGGCCTAAACCTACCTTAGGTGGAGCGAAACACGGTCTACAATCGCCTAGCACACAAAGAGGAATTTAAATTATTACAAAAAACCCGAGTCTATTTTTGGAATAACCCGACGCGATTGAACTAACGGTATTCTCCACTGAATTAACAGTTTCGAGTACCGGGTAACTAAATGATTTTTCTAAACGAGACTAACGTTAGGACGTATCCTCACTTTATTTAAAATTTAATGAATGAATTTTTAAATTTAAATTTAAGTTTAAAGTTTAAAACTTCAAGTTTCAAATTTCAGAATCGCAAAGGAAACACGGATCGGATGAGACGACTGTTAGCTTCGTATAAGTTAATAGAATGTCTGTACAGTATAATGGCTGAATTCAATTGCTCCTATAAAAAGGCCGTACAAGTATATGTTCCTCCAGACCCTCAACCTGAACGAGTAGAACAAGAGCCAACTATATTACAGACAGCTCAAAGACATCTCAACCTAAATACACCTTTATATAATAACCTGCCTGGGCCCATACCTATGTCCTCTATCCCACAAAACGACGATGGGGTAGTGACTTACGCAAGCGTAACTCGATCTGTACCGCACCTACAATTTGAAAATGCTCCCAACAGTAATTCATTACCATTCGCATTACAATCGTGTGCTAAGGAGGTTCCGCAAGCTTTAAAAGGAAAGACTATAGGGACGAAGAGAAAAAGAAAGAAGAAGCAAAATCAGAATGAATTGATTGAAAGCGATATATCGTCAGAATCGGAAGAAATAGTTAACAATAATGATGATGATATTGAAATTGAACTCCAATCAAGAAGAGAGAAGCTTAGATATACTCTAAATTTTAAGCAGTTACTTTGTAAGTTGTATTCTATATTTACAAATTCACAAGAAGAACTTAAGAAGAAAATAATTCAAGGAGTGTCATTAGTTATTGAATGGTTAGTACCGATGGTGGGGCAGTGCATTTGGGATTTGCCTTTTAAAAGTTTCTTCGGACAATAATGGGTAGTAATTACAAAATAAACATTTTCCAGTGGAACTCACAAAGTATAGGGCCCAAACGCGCGGAGTTTGACCAGCTGTTAAGTAGTGAGAAAATTCATATTGCTGCCATTTCTGAGACATGGCTAAATGCTGAAATTACGTTTAGAATCAGTGGCTACAATATTTACCGCAGGGACCGAAATGATTCGTATGGTGGGGTTGCTATTTGTTCACACAAATCTTTAAAGACTCAACTAATACCTGTCCAAATTTCTAATCCCGGAATCGAAATAATTTGTATTAAACTTTTTAACTGTACACACATAGATTACATACTCTCTATATAATGCCCACCTACCATACGAACTTCTCAGAATGACTGGGATGAAATATTTTCTTTTAAAACTAACAAAACATTGATTCTTGGGGACTTCAATGGACATCATCCAAGCTGGTCTAGTAAGGTTGATTTAAGAGGCACCAACATTTTTGATTCTTTAATTGAAAATAATTTCGTTTCCTTGAATGATGGCACAGCTAATCGCGTTAAATATGTAAACGGAATAATACAGGAGTCGTCCCCTGACATATCTATCGCATCTTCGGATCTAGCACTGCAGTTAGATTGGAAGGTTACTAATGAGTTATTAGGCAGTGATCATTTGATTGTTAAGATTAATTTGTCATATTACAATAGTAAGCGTCAATTCCTAAAGAAAAGGAACTATAAAAAAGCAAACTGGGATGGATATAGCTCATACTTAGAAGATAAAATTTCAAGGTTTGTTTTTATAGATGAAGATCCGCAGAAAAGCTACAACTTATTTTTAAGTATGATCAATGAAGCCGCTGATGCTCATATTCCTTTTTACAGAACCAGTCAAGATCCCTCAAAACATTTTTCTCCTAAAGTGTATTGGAATACCGACTTATCTAAATCTGTTGCAGAAAGGCGCCTAGCTCTTACTCTATTTAGAAAAAACCCTACTCCTGATAATTTAGATAAATTAAAAGACAAAATTAGAATCACACAATTACTAATTAGAAAGGCAACTAAGAAATCGTTTTCTACTTTTTGTTCTTCGATGGATGAGTCTACTACAGTAAACGGGATGTGGCAGAAAATGAAGTGGTTGAAAGGTTATAGGTGATCTAATGTGAATAGGAGTTATGTTGATCTAACTATGGCAAATGAGCTTTTACACAGTTTGACTCCAGACTCAGTTTGTCCGAAGGACCCTGTTTTTTTATCTCGTAACATTAAAATTGACTCTCCTTTTTCAATGAGCGAGCTAACGTGCTGTGTTAAAACAAAAGATACTTCTCCAGGTGTGGATAATATATCCTATTCAATTATAAAACACCTTCCCAAAGATGCATTAATTATTTTACTCGAACTATTTAATTTGTTTTACTCTCTGAGCTTTGTACCATTTCAATGGCGAGAAATACGCATTATACCAATTCCAAAAGCAGGGCGTGAGGCGTCATCTTTATCATCGCTCCGACCTATTTCGCTGATGTCTTGCCTGAGTAAAATCTTCCATGCTATGTTAAGAAATAGACTGGAATGGTTGATGGAAAATGAAAATCTATTTTATGAAGAAACCACCGGATTTAGGAAATCAAAATCATGTTTGGACAATCTCAGTAATTTAGTTACTAGAGTAGAATTGGGGTTTTCAAAAGATCAAATTACAGTAGGTTGGTTTATTGATATAGAGAACGCGTACAATAACATAGATATTACGGCTTTGCTAATGAATTTGGATCGATTAGGTGCTGGATCAAAAGTTTGTAAATATTTGTGGACTTTCTTAAGGGAAAGATACTTAAGTGTTCAGGTGGACAATGTAATTTTATCCAGGTCTACAGGCCGAGGAATCGCCCAGGGTGATCCTATAGCTCCACTACTATTTAATATTTCAACTATTCATATTTGTAATCAAATTAATCCTAATGTAAATATCTCTCAGTATGCTGATGATTATGTGTTATATACTTCGGGTAAAAATTTAAATGACGCTTCCACTGAATTGCAATTGGCCTTAAATAAAATGTATAATTTGCTCATAGATTTAGGTTTGGAGATTTTAATGGCTAAAACAAAGATCTGTATTTTTAAAAAAGGTATTTGTAGGCAAGCTATTTCAGTAAGCATAAATAATAATAAAATAGAAGTAGTAAACACAGTCAAGTATTTAGGGATGTGGCTGGACCGGTCTTTAAAGTGGAATAAGCATATTACGGAATTAACGAATAAGATTTCTAGATTTTTAAACATATTTAAAGTTTTAGTAGGACCTGGTTGGGGAGTACATCCCAAGCATTTAAGAAGATTGTTTATTGCCGTTATAAGGACTAGACTAGATTACGGGAGTTATTTATTTGATAACAGCTGTCAAAAGTATTTAAGTAAGTTAGACAAAATACAAAACCAGGCGTTGCGGGTGATTGGAGGATTCATTAAAACTACTCCTATTCATACAATGGAGAGTGAGCTATGCCTCCCTCCATTGCATATACGAAGAGCTTTTTTGGCACGTAAATTCATCTTAAAAGCTAAATCAATGAGAAATATTATCACACTAAAACTGTTGAATGAATTAGCACATTTTAGAAACAATAGATATTGGCGTAATAAAAAGAAACCGCTACTCTTATCTGTTCATGATCACTTCGTTGATATCCGCATTCACAGTAGTCAAAAATTAGAAATGTTTAATATAGGTACATGGGTCAGTAACATAGATTTAAGTAATATAGTTGATTTAAATATTCCATGTATTTCAAAAGCTAAACGAAATTACAACAACTTTAGTCCGTAAACTAATACAATTTAAGATAGATAGTAATATATGCATCATGGAGGTTGAGCTTGTAGCAATATGTGAAGCACTGTCTTACGCTGCATCACTACCACAAGATAGTATTGTGATATTGACAGACTCAAGAAGCGCACTCCAACACCTGGCTCGGTGCACTTCGGGTACACGAGGCACACCGATAGCCTACACCGTTCTGGATACCATTTATGGGTTAACATCCAGATCAAAATCTATTAAGTTGCAGTGGATTCCGTCTCATTGTGGTATGGAATATAATGAGCGAGTAGATATCTTGGCTAGACAGGCTACTACGGATGGTATCGAATACAGCATATTACCCCATTATACTGATTGTATTTCTATTATAAAAAAGCAATGTTATATACTATGGAAGGAGTATTTCGATTTACGTTCAAAAGAAATGGGTATTTGGTATAAGACGGTACAGCCACAACCACCTAAAATAACATGGATTGATAACCATAAGCTATCGCGACAAGATGCAGTAGTGATAATGAGGCTTCGTACTGGACACATTCCATCTAGGAAGTTTGCATTTCTCATGAAAAAGGTCCAATCACCCAACTGTGATCAATGTGGTGTTCCCGAGGACCTAATGCATGTCTTGATGGAGTGTGCCCACAATGCTGCCTTTCGTATTGATAAGTGCCATCACATCTTAAAAGACTTCGCTGATTGTAATATAATTTTAGCTAAGCCACATTCTGACGACATAAAATTACTAATCAAACTTTACAAGTTGAAGTTCTCAGATCAACCACACTTTCCTCACTGTGATTGATCTGGGAATTTTAATTGTAACTAAATGCATAACTTCTTTTACTTATTGTAATTAATTAAGGATTTAAGAAATGTATAATGTAATTAAGTTTAAGTATTCCTAAGGTATTTGTTTTTGGTGTTGAACTAACGGAGCGACATATTCACATTGTGATTAAGCTCATTAATAAAGAATTAAAAAAAAAAAGTGCAAGCAATAAGTTGATAAAATTTTACCGCAATCTGATGAACGGTATGGCAGTGCATAAAATACGAACAAACAAAAATATTTTTATATATTAAACAATTAAAAATGCCGAACTCTATGTTTTTGACAAATTTCAATCTATTGAGAATGTATTTTTCCGTAGGATTAATTTGTGCAGGCAAGAAATGGATAAATTACTTACTGAAGAGGAATATCAAACTTATCTTTATAAAAAGAAACTGGAGGAGTATGAAACTGGAAAAACTATATTGAAGTCCCTTGTTAGCCCTGAACTTTTTGGGATTTTGGAAGAATATATTGAGGTAACTCTTTTAAGTTTAGTTTGTTGTGCTAAATCTCTTCATTCTTTTAAGTCTTGTTAATTAGAACGCTATTAAGTAGATAAATTACTTTTCCTTTTTCTTACTCTTTTCATTTAATTACTTTTCATATAAATATCATTTCGACTTATCTATATTTATATGTATTTTAAACACTTTTTTGTACACCCCCCTCTATTTTAAGTATTGTTTGCATCAGTCCTCTACGCAAAGGTTGTCTGTAACCACTGTAACAGATCAAGTGATAAGACCGCCTTTTGTACATATTATACCTCAGATTGAACTCCACTCGTTTTTCCGTATTTTGGCATTGATTTATATGTTACACTAGATAAGTAATTGCCGCGCCAAAGCGTTGCCACTTCACATATGGCCACAGCCATATGCCCAAGCAACATTGGTTCAGTGTTCAATGCGACGCCGACCGAGTTGAGCCGAACGATTCACGACAAAAAAATAGGTAAATGCGTAGTGAAAGAATGCGATTCAAGGTCACAAAAACATAATTAAACAAGCGGAATCACTTTCCACACGTAAGTTTTAGTTTATGTTTTCATATTAACGTAAAAACACAAAAAAATGAAATAAAATATCGAATATTGCAATTTAGGTTCAATGTTGCCACTTTTCTGCCTTTGCAATTTTCCCACATTACACTACTACGACTACATAATTTATGGAATAAGTTAATTTATTAGCCCTGATTTTAAATATTTTGGAAGTTGTAATTATAACTATGTTTCAACCTTTATACAAAGGAATTAATTATTTTTATTTTAGAATATTCTAGAGATCTATAGATCTATTAATTATATTTTATTACCTATTTTATATTAATAATTTTGCAGAGTACCTAAAGATGCAGCACACCGTAAGAAGTGGGTGGAAATAATACAATTGCTGAGAAAGGAGACTCACTGGGTGCCTTCGAAATCTATTCTCATTAGTTCTAAGCACTTCCGGGATCAAGACAAACTAGGACCAAAAAGCGATGGCGAACGTGTTTATTTAAGAGGATTAGTACGACAGATTAACACCATTTAGTATTACAACTTAAAAATATATTAATAACCACAGTTTTTGTGGCTAATGTCATGAGACCAAATTTAGGAGACAAAGACTTGCCGATGCTTTCACAATTGATGAATATTTCAAGTTAAGAAACCCAAAATTGATTTTTCTTACTTGATTTATTTTTTGTTTGATTTATCAGTACAATAAAAGATACTTAGAAAAATGTTTCATTTCATTAGTTATACTTCTATTCATCGGATAAGCGAAGATACATCATCATCATCATCATCATTACAGCCCTTCACAAGTCCACTGCTGAACATAGGCCTCCCCCAAAGAATGCCACAAAGCACGGTCCTGAGCCACCTGCATCCATCGACTTCCTGCATATCTTACCAGGTCGTCACTCCATCTAGTGGGGGGACGCCCTACACTTCGCCTGCCGGTACGAGGCTGCCACTCGAGAACCTTTCTTCCCCATCGGTTGTCGGTTCTTCGAGCTATATGGCCGGCCCATTGCCACTTCAGCTTACTAATCCGTTGGGCTATGTCGGTCACTCTAGTTCTACTGCGGATATCCTCATTTCTGAGTTTATCACGCAGAGAAACTCCGAGCATAGCCCTCTCCATAGCTCGCTGAGCGACCTTGAGCTTCCTCATCCGGCCAGCAGTGAAGGACCACGTCTCAGTTCCGTATGTCATCACTGGCAACACGCACTGGGTGTACAGTCTCGTTTTCAAGTTTTGAGGTATACCTGACGAGAAGATGTGCCGTAATTTCCCGAACGCTGCCCAACCGAGTTGAATCCGTCGATTGACCTCTCGGTCGAAGTTGGACTTACCTAGTCGGACTATTTGTCCCAGGTAAACATACTCGTCAACAACTTCGAGCTTAGTGTTCCCAACAACTACCGGCATAGGTGTGACATGGACATTAAACATGATCTTTGTTTTGTCCATGTTCATCTTAAGACCTATCCGTTGGGAAACACTATTGAGGTCATTGAGCATAGTGCTTAGGTCCTCCAGCGATTCTGCCATAAGGACTATATCGTCGGCAAATCGAAGGTGAGTGATGTACTCGCCATTGATGTTGATACCGTATCCTTTCCAGTCCAGAAGCTTGAAAACATCTTCCAATGCAGCGGTAAAGAGTTTCGGGGATATGACGTCACCCTGTCTTACACCTCTCTGCAATTGGATAGGTTTCGTACTCTGGTTCTGTACTCGGATAGCCATCGTAGCCCTACTGTACAAGCACTTCAACACTTCGATATACCGACAGTCAACTTGGCATCGCTGAAGGGACTGCAGCACCGCCCAAATTTCGACGGAATCAAAGGCTTTCTCATAGTCCACATACGCCAGACATAGTGGCAAATTGTACTCCTCGGACTTCTGTACAATTTGCCGAAGGGTATGTATGTGGTCTATGGTGCTAAAGCCTTTTCGGAAACCGGCTTGTTCGGGAGGCTGAAAGTCGTCAAGTCTGCGCGCGAGACGATTCGTAATGACTCTCGAAAACAGCACGTAGACGCGGCTCAGAAGGGAAATCGGTCTGTAGTTCTTCAAGAGAGCGTTGTCGCCTTTCTTGAAGAACAAGACCACCGCACTTCTGCTCCACGCCTCCGGTGTAATGCCACCATGGAGGACGGAATTAAAGAGCTTCTGAAGGACTTCAAGTACCGGTCTTCCACCCGCTTTCAGAAGCTCCGCTGTAATTCCATCCTCGCCTGGGGCCTTGCCGTTTTTAAGGTGCTGGAGAGCCATTCTAATCTCGCTCAGACTGACGTCCGGGATATTATCGGAATAATGTCGGATAAGACTCGCTCTTGGATCGTTACTCACACTTGCGTGCGGCTCCAACGATGACGTGTACAGCTGTCCATAGAACCTCTCAATCTCACTCAAAATCTCAGGTGCCCCGGAAACGATGCTGCCACACTCTGTCTTCAGCTTTGACAGTTGGCGCTTTCTGGCAGACAGATCTCTGGCAAAGACTTTGGAGCCTTGGTTCCGCTCGATCGCTTCTTCAATACGAGCTGTATTGAAGTTGCGTAAGTCCCGCCGCATGCATTTGGAGATCTGTCTGTTCAGTTGCCTGTATGCTGTTAAATCTGTTGAAGAATGTAGCTTCATCTCCCGTCTAACAGCCATGAGATTAAGAGTGTGATGGGAGAGTTTTTGTGTTCTTCTGCGGCGGGTCTTGCAGAACTTAGCTCCGACCGCATGGACAGTTTCCACGAGCTTGTCATTCAAATCGTCCACTTCATTGCAGTCTTCTAGGCACTGAAAACGGTTTTGTAACTCGAGCTGAAAGGTTTCGGGACTTTGGATTAGAGCACGAGGGGGACGGAGCGTTGACTTCATTAGACGAGACCTCTCCAACTTAACGTTTAGGTTCAGTGTGCCTCTAACCATTCGGTGATCGCTGCCGGTTTTCACCCTCGCGATCACTGAGACATCACTGAACAGTTGTCGTCTGGTCGTCATAATGAAGTCAATCTCATTTTTTGTCGAACCGTCGGGGCTCGACCAGGTCCACTTCCTGTGGGGCCGCTTCTGGAAGAAAGAGTTCATCATAAAGAGTCCCTCTTTCTCCATGAAGTCAGCCAACTGCTGGCCCCTTGGGTTCCGTTGCCCTATTCCAAATTTCCCTACTTTCAGCTCACCGTTCTCTCTTGTGCCTAGTTTTGCATTGAAGTCTCCCATTAACACCGTATATTGGGTTTTGGAGGAATGCATGGCTCTAGATATATCCTCATACATTTCCTCCACCTCCTGATCGGGGTGTGCCGAGGTTGGTGCGTAAACCTGTATGACCTTCAGCGAATACCGTTTGGTGATTCTGAGTATAAGGTACGCAACCCTCGTCGACACACTCTCAATCTTTACAACGTTGTTAACGAGAGACTTGTGGACGATAAATCCGACACCTCCTTGGGACAGATGGTCGCCCTCCCGGTAATAGAGCAAGTTGCCGGATTCGAGGATTACCGTGTCCTCCCCCTCTCTTCGGACTTCGGATAATCCTATAATATGCCAGCGTAACTTCTCTATCTCTTCTTCCAGCTCCACAATCTTCTCGTCAGTCCTCAGGGTGCGTGCGTTGTATGTTGCCAGGTCGAGTCGTTGTAGGTGGCAACCGAACCTCCACCGGAGATTCTTAGCACCCCCTGCCCCGCCGTTACCATGGTCGCCACCGTAGCCAGGAATAGCGGGGCCACCGGGGACTAGGGGCCGTTTATTATTGTCATTTCTCATGGGGGGTATATTGCCATAGTTGCCACGCTTGGCGAGCGGGTTGGCAGCCGCAGTTTTTTTTTATTGTTATTTTGGCTATTATCAGGAAGATGCTGCTGCCCATCTCCTGCCTGTTTCCCTTTGTCGCCTTTTACGACACCCACGGGAAGATATGGGGTAGTGGATATTCTCAACCGCCACTACACGGCAGACCGCCACTACAAGATACTAGAAGATACTAGAAGATACATATTTAAAATAAAAACAAATAACTGCTTAAAAAAACTCTTTTTTATTGCTTATTTTTGGGTAAAATTTCATATAGTAGGCAATACCAATCCGTCACTGCATGTTTGTGTGTCTATCTTTATCTAATCTTAGCGACGGTATTGTTTTCGTGACTTGTGTAAGTGAGACAGATATATGTTTACTTAAAAAGGTTTAGTGGTTTCAAAGCTACGTCCTCGCGGCTAGATAGTGGCTTCACTTTTTTCGGCGCGCGGTAATGTGGTTTGCTCCTCTAGTCTTGTATAACTCAATGTATTTTGATGTACAATAAAGAATAAGTAAATGGTTTATATTCACCATTGGACCCAGTAGGTAGCGCTGTTGTCGAGGTCCAGAAATAATCCATCCGAAGCCGGAGCGGATCCCTAATTTTTGTATAAAATATATCCAGGGACCTATTAATCGTTAATGTGATTACTTAATAATCTATGTATGCTCAGAGTTATATTTAAAATTAAATCACTTGATTGTGCAAAAGTAATTTAGATGTTAATTGGGAAATAAGCCCTTCCAAAGCTCATTTTAATGAAAATGTTCTAATAAATCGGTAATCGTCACAAGAAGGGAATTGTTCCGGGGGCTCCACAGGAGAATACCTCCTCCAGGACAGCATCGTGTCATCTAGGCCAGGCCACTTACACCCAGACACACACAAATACCACCTACACTCACTACACTTTCATCAGCCTGGCAGATCTTGGTGAACAGTCTTCGCTCCCGAATCGGGTAAGTACCTTCCCGTAAACTAGCCTTCCCCTTTATTGTGATAGGATATTTCCACGTGGCTACTTGGGAGGCCCGACCTGCGTCTGCCCGTAGAATTCCTGCTTGGGCCCCGGGATAGCCTACTTTTGCAAGGGCAGCCGTAGGCCGTAACAACGTATCATC